TAAGGGTAGTACACAGCAATGTTAGTTTGGAATATAGTGCGTGTCTACACTACGAGCCTTTATTCTGACTCATGGTAACCCTCATTTCATGAGTAAAGGAAGTTGAAGGAAGTGTGTTCTTCCTTCAACTTCCTGCTGCGTAGACAGCGCCAAAAGCTGAATTCGGCTATTTTGACTTCAGCTACGTAATTGACGTAGCCGAAGTTGGGTAGCTTTACTCGACTTTAGCCTTGCTACATAGACATACCCTAAGAGAACATGCTAAAATTATCACTCAAAATCACCATGCTCATAAGGTCCAGTCAGCATCCACACTAGTATAGAGCCACAACAGCCCCTCAGTGGTATAACTATTTTGGCAAAAAAGTAACCCAAGCACCAATACCTCTCCTGGGGTCTTCCTGCTGCTGGAAGCATTCAGGCATGCCCGGGGTCCCCTACATCCCTAATTAGAATAGAGATGGGTAATTCACAAAGGTCCAAACAATCTATTTCATTTGCAGGAGGAGAAAAGGCAGGGGGAAAAAGAAGAGAAAAAAAAGTGTTTACTGGTAGATAGGGCATATTTAATTCAATTAATGAGGAGTTCACCATGATTAACAGAGTTATCTGTGTGTTTGAAACAAATCATGTATTATTGGAGAAATACATATTCCATAGGTGAGCAGATTTTAAGAAGGAGTTAAAGTTGCAAAAGAAAAAATTATTTTGGTGATAAATTAAGCTTAAATATTAAGGAGTCCACACCAGGGACTTGCAGTTTAATTGAATCAGTTTAGAAAGTGATTAAACTGGTGAAACACTTTCATTGGCAAGTTCCCTAATAGTAAGCAGATACCACTTATTCTTCTGATAATTGCATTTTAAAATGAATTTAATACCAATTCTCTCTCACTCCCCCAAATTGATATAAACAAATACTCATGGTTTAGGTCTAAACTTCACGTTTTTTTCCCCTGACATTTGTATTGCTGCCTATACATTGAATGATCAGGTTCAATTAAAAATAGACCATTTATAGTATGTACTGGAGTAGATGTACCCAGCATTGCTTGAGTCTTTAATTAAAAAAAGAAGAAGAATACGCTGGGTACATCTGCTAGTACATACTATAAAAGCTAGCTGCATCCCGGAGCGCACAGCTGCGGTCACCCCACCCTCCTGAAATGACACCCTTGGGTCTACCCCAGCACAGATCAGCAGTATAAGTTTCTTCAGTTTTGCACAAGCCTCTGAGCCAGAATAAAGATTTATTTTCAAAGAGCAGATGTTAAGGAATTAAAAAGGTTAAAATCAACTCAGCAAAAAAAAAAAAAAGGTAGCTGGCAAATTCGGTAATTATTTCAACATGCATTTCATGACAGACAAGAATTCTTTAGCAATAGTTAGATTTCAACTGCCATAATTCAGCTTTTATTTCTGATTAAATTCAATTGGTATACTTTGTGTTGATTGGGTCTTGAGCTATAATTATGATTTAAAAAGAAGAGTCAATTTAGTTGGCAGCAAACTAGTAAGACTCGGAGTACTGAAGGAGAATTCTCCAAGCACTCTTCCCACACTAGTACCAGATTACATTTCAGAAGTCTATTACTTCCTATTTCAAAAACAAGCAGAAAACTGAATTAAGCACAAATTTATTGGCTCCCTCTCTAAATAGGCATACAGCACATGCCTGAGCACAAAAAGTATAACTCATTCCTTCACTTTGTTTTCCCTTGGGAGCTAATCTTAGTACTTCGTGGTTGACCAACACTACACCAGAGTGAGACACGATGGACAATTAGCCTTCATGTTGCTTGATATACCACAGAATGGTGAATTCTAGAGTTTTTTCATTGATGCCTAGATGTAAGTGAATACATTAGCACTAGAATACCCAGAGCTTAATTTTTTATGGCTTAATTTTTGAGTGCCTAATTTGATGCACCTTAAAGGGATCTACTCTTCAGAAACAGCTGACTAGTTCTTCCCTTTGAAGTAGGAATAAGATCCTCCGGAAAAGGGCGCTTTTTCCGGAGGATCGGGGCCAGTGTAGACGCTCTTTTCCGGCTTTTCTAAAAGCCGGAAAAAAGCGGCGGACATTTTTATTTAAATGCCGCGGGGGATATTTAAATCCCCCGCGGATTTCCCTATTACGATAGCTGAAATTAACATGCCCCTTCCGGAAAAGGGGCCAGTGTAGACGTAGCCAATGAGAAGCTCCTCGAAACTCCACCAGACCTCAGATATACAGCATAGAGGTTATTGAATAACAGCCTCTACGGGTTAAGGTGTATTCTTCGGCACAGACCTGAGCAAGAGATGGCATGTACATTATACTCCGACCCTTAGGGAAGCTCTAGAAAACACTGTGCCTGCCCTCAGAGCTGGTCTACACCATGGGGAAAGGTTGATTTAAGCTACACAATTTGAGTTACATTCTTACTGCAGGGTCCACACTACTCTGGATCGACAGAAAGAACTCTCCTGTCTGGTACTCTCTCCTCTTATTTGTCCTGGTGGAGAACCAGAGTCAATGTGAAAGCAATCAGTGATCAATTTATCATGTTTGCAGTAGATGTGATAAATTGACCCTCCACTGGATCGATCACTGCCCTGTTGGTCCAGCCCTTAGTGAAGACACGTCCACTAAGACACCCTATTTGGTTTCTGAGTTTTGAGGTGTGAGTGATATGGGATGCAGAGAGTTAGGAGGAATAAGATACCCCAGAATCACAGTCCTCCTTCTGCTTCTGCCTCACTTCGGCAAGTGAGTGTAGGGTTTGAAACAGCCACCATTTTTATCCCATCATTACTGGATTCAACATTTCCAATGCTGTGCTAATTAAAAATCCTTTAGCAGGAGCTCAGGACTACACATTAACCAACAGGATTCTTAAGATGCATGAAAGCAGCAGAAGGGAGGACTTAATTGTCTACACATCGGTGAAATTCCTGGATTCCCTAGACCTCCAAATTCAAATCAGTACAAGGTAACAGTAGATAAAACACGAAATGCCGCAAGTTTCCTTTATGTGGAGTTTTCAGATGAGCCATCCTCTGGACCTTCTCTCTTGCAGCATTCAGAACGCAGAGGGTGGAAGTGGGGAAGAAAGCTAAGGAAAGCCCCATTACTCTCAGCAGCCAAGACATCATCATACTGGAATCAGACACTGATAAAGCAACACAGTGTGCAGCAAAAGAGCCACACCTACAAAGAACACTGACATTATGGGTCAGATGCTCAGCCCCAATAAGACTGTTTTCACATTATTCCAATAGTTAAAAGCAGTCTTACACCTGGTATATGTGACCAACAGGGCATGATGGAGTGCCCAGGAGGCGTAGTATCAGTGCAGTCAAGAATCCTTCCACTGTCACAAGCCCCTGGTGTAGGGGACATGGCAGAAGGATGCTGGAGGTAAAACAGTGCTCTAGGACAACCCATGGACCTTGGGAGCCATTGCTGGTCAATCTGGACAACTCAGACTTTTCTAACTTGCACTGGGGACTGAAAAAGTCACAGACATAAAGGGAACGCAAAGGTGGTATAAAACATCTAATTTGCTCCTGACTAGAGTCTACACCAAGCACAAGTCAGCCAGACCCAAGAGTGCGGTGAACTTGCAAGTATTTGTTAGCTATCCCTATAAATCCTACTCTTTTCACAGAAAAATGTCACAGAATGCATGAGAATCATTTTTTAACAATTCAGAACTTACTGATTTTTGTTTTGGGGTCAGTGAGTTCTCAATGTGAAAAATGATGAAGAACCATGCTTGGTCAAGTTAAAAAGAGATGAAGGCATTCAACACCTTGCAAATGTGGACCTTACATTTGATATTTGAAAAGGAAACACTGAGCTAAATTCAGCATGGTTGACACCACTAACAGATAAGTCTGGCAGACTTTCTGACTAGTACTGATGCCAAAAAGACTCAAATATTTATATAAGAATGACCACACAGACTGACTAATGATCCATGGAGTCCAGTATCCTGTCTCTGACAGTGGCTCATGTCAGATGCATCATAAAGATCATTATTAGGTCAATTATGAGTGATGCCTCGCGTTGTCCATGCCCATTTTCTCTAACTGCCAAGTTCTGGGACTCCAAAAATGCAGTTGCCTCCCTGATCATCTTGCCTAATAGCCAGTTTTGAACCTATCCTCCATGAACTTAAATTGTTTTTTCAACATTTGGCCTTCACAACATCCCTGGAAAGGAGTTCCACAGGTGAACTGCATTTTGTGAAGTACTCCCTTTTGCTGCAAACCTGTTGCTTATTATAAATATTTCTGCCACACCACTCATGACTTATCAACTTCTATCATATCCCATCAAAGTCCTGAACATTCCCAGTCTTTTCTCTCTCCTAGTCTGGAAACTGTACCAGCCTCCTAATCATTTTCATTGTCCTTCTCTGCACCTTTTCCATTTAGCTGCATTGCATTTCCAAAATGACTACATAAGATGTTGAGTCAGGTCCAAAGTCCACCCAGGAGTTGAGCGTTCATCACCTGCATAATTTGGGCCATATATAGCACCGCAGATTATTTCTGTGTCAAAAAAAAAAAATGCTTTAAACATTTAGAAAAAAACACAACCAACAACGGTAAGAAACATTTCAAGTTTCAGAAGCAAGAAATGAAATTCATCTAAAAATATTTTAATATAGGAAGTTTGCCTAAAGAACCAATGTAACATAGAAGAGGACACCAATGTATAACCAAATTTACTGTTCAGTCTCATGGTAAGCAACCGATGCAAATTTACCAAAAAGTTATTATTTGGTTAGAGTTACTAGCACAGCTAGGACCATGCTGCCTTGTAATTATGGTTTTACAGCATTAATTCTCAAATCGGCTGAGTTAGTTTTACTATAGTTAGTTTTACTGGTAAAATTCAAGTTTACAAAGAAACAAAATAATTTAGCATATTATGCTATACTCCATTTCATGCTCTGCTCACAATGATAAAACCCTAGAAGACAAGATAAACAATATTCAGCATTAGATTAATAATGCCAAAACATATAGAAATTTTAATGCCAATTTACAACATAAATACAATGCTTTCCAAGGAGAGTTCTCATGTCTGCTGTCCAAACGAGAACCCACATGGAGAAAAGCATTCAAGTACTGTTATAGTGCATATCATATTGCCCACACTAAGAGGAATGTTTTATTTTACCTTCTTACAGAGTTATTGTTTCAAACATCTGTGTCCTAAGTGTAATGCAACAATAAAAAAGTAAATTAAAATCATTGCCTCAAATATGAGGCCTAAGTCCTACAACTTATTTACAAACCCTATATCAGTAAACCCTTTGTAAAAAAGACTGAGCAAAATCGTAATGGCACGATAATGCCAAGAGCTTGGACACTATTATATGAACTAGAATGGTACTGATGTAGTTAAATCAACTAGTTAAAGTATATATTCTTAATTCAAGAATAATTTGCTGTCAGTATACAGAGTAATTGTATAACTGTTCTTGATAAAATTTTGAAACCTTGGTAAAATTAAAATCAGTATCCATTCACTATCTGTATTTGTTACTTTGTCCACTGTTTTTACTCTAGGTAGGATTTAAAAAAAAAATAAGCCAATGTTGTTTATCTCTGTTTCCAATGATAAAACTCCTATTGACTTTAGTGAAATCAGAGATACACCAAACAGTGCTTTTCAAAACACTATCGGTCATGGTTTGTTTTTTATCACTGATTCGAAGCAATCTGGGTCACTTGGGTAAACAGGATACACGCAAACAATGTGTATTTAAATACGGCTAAATGTCAACACATAAGCCATACATACATGATGAGAGTCTTGCTCCTGAGCAACAATCATCCTGAAAAAACATTTGTGGCTCATGGTGCATAATCATGAGCTCCCAAAGTGATCAAAAGAGCTAAGGATCAAAAGAGTAAATCTCAATTATGTCTAGAGAGGTTATTTTACCTTTGCATTTGGAACTGCTGTGACTGCTGCTAGAATACTGAGCCCAGTTCTGGGACAATGATAAATTGGACGGGGTTCACAGAAGAGCCATGAGAATGATTAAAAGATTAGAATACATGCTCTACAATTATATACCTCTTTAGCTTAACAAAGGGAAGATGAAGGAGTGGCTTGATTAGTCTGTAAGTACCTACATGGGGGACAAATATTTAATAAGGGGGGCTCTCATCCGGAGGAGAAAGATACAACACGTGGCTGAAAATTTAAAACTAGACAAATTCAGACTGGAAATAAGGAGTACCTTTTTAAAGACTGAATCAATTAATCATTGGCGCAGTTTACCAAGGGTCACGGTTGAGTCTCCATCTCAGAATTTTTAAATCAAGATTTGATGTTTTTCTGAGAGCTATGCTCTGGGAATTATTTTGGGAAGTTTTCTGCCCTGTGTTATACAGGAGGCCTGATTAAATTATCAAAACAGGACCCTGTGGCCTTGCAATCTATGAATTTAAACATGGAGAATATAGCTTGTTTACAAAGCGAAGTTGAAAGGAAAAACTCCTTTCCCCTTCCTCGTGTATATTTTGTTTTTTTCCTGCAATCTATAGAAAACTCATGAAAGCCTAGAAAACTCCCCTAACAGGACAGCTATGTGTGGAAGAATGGGGGACTGCACTTGTGTGTCAGCTCAGAAAGGGTTTTGTATCACTAAAGTATTTTTTTTCCTTTTTAACTAAAGATGGTAAAAGGAGTCTGGAATCAAAACTGCTTTTTCTCTCCCCTATTTAAATTAACAGGATTCACTTACCATACTCCGGATTGAAATTCATCTCCTAACCATTACAATTAAGACTACAGGTCCATATTTACTGGACCAGCCCAACTGAGCTTGGCACAAGTCTAGAAGAGGATGTGTGCATGCACGTATGCATTACATCACCTTGGTATCTCCCTGATCCTGAATGATGCTATGCAGCTTACCCTGGCTGGGTGCAGGGCTATACCCCTTTTTACCAGTGACACACTCTATATGCTGGTAGCTAGCAGGAGGAGTGCTGTCAGATCCACTACAGCAGCCCTGCAAGAGTGCTGTCATCCACTGACCAATTAAGGCAGGTTTAAGTCTGCTCAGTGCTCTCAGAGTGGCACATAGCATAACTGAACAGCCTGGAGAATCTTGCTCATAATCCAACTCTCAGCTGTGACAGCTAATCTTCCAATATAATACACAACACAAACATAGCTTGGCATTGCATTCATTTTGGAGTTCACATTGATCCACTGTTATTACTATGGAGGCCAACAAAGTCACCAGAAAAATGGGGGAGGCGGGCAGCGACGTAAGTGGGATATTTCTACAAGAGTTGGTCCCAGCATTAATACTAAACATATACATGAAAAAGTGGGAAGGAGGCCTAGTCAATATCAGTAACATTGTCAGGTTAAACCTTGTCTTCCTTTCTAAATTAATAGTCTAGTAACACAGGAGAAACTTGTGACTTTGCAGCATATATTTGTTCACAATACCACAAGATTTTCCTTAAGAACATATTTTGCATTGAACAAATCTGGTCTATAAATTTGCCAAGTGCACAAGCTGAAGGCACAGAGTCAGAAAACATACCAAAAAAGGAAAATAAGTTAGGAAAGAAAAAAGATGGAAGAAACAAACTTACTGTCCAAATTATATTTAGAAGGGACCAACTCTTAACGCTGCTGTCACTTTGTGCTGAATAATAAATACTGCAAAGTAACAAATCTTCACTCTTAAGTAAAAGCTTCAGAAAATACCTTGAAGTTTTAAAACTAATACACTGATGTGTTAATTAGTTTAAAGAATGTCCATAATAAAAAACAAGAGTGCAAAAAAGATTCTTCCATTCTAACATTTTTGGAGGAAGCTGCTGATTTTGGCTGCCAATTTTCACTTAGAAATTATCTGTTTTTCAAGGCGCGTTCCTCACAGAATCGGAGAATAAGAACTTGCTGAGAGACCAAACCAAAGAGTCATGTCTTTCAAAGTTATCCCAAGTGTAGCAGCAACTGACATTTTATTACATAAAGAAAATCCAAACTCCTCTTCCACGTATAGCTAGTGACAGAGCTCCTGAATATCAGCAGACCCCAGCTGGGGCTCTGGATATCATCTGTGCTCTTCCAGTGTCTGTTCTGGCTAGGAATAAAAGCACATCCAGTATATTCACTATCTGTACCCTCTGGAGCTTGCACATGTTGATGAGCCATCTGAAATACACATAAGAGAGAAATGGTTAATCAGAAATCCTTATTATAACTTACACTTCTGTAGCACCTTTCATCCTGCCAGATCCAAAAGAACTGCGTATGCTCATATACCAGCTATACAGTCCTTTCATCCAGCACTCTTCTAGACAGAAGAAGAGCAGCCATGCCGCATATCAGTTTAGAGAAGGAAATTAAGGGGGGCATATTCTGATACTACTGAAAAATCTGGGTAGACCGAATGCAGTCAACATTCAACATGAGCTGCTATTCTTGACACTGAAAGATCCATGGAATATTTACTGGCAAGTGATCAGGACCTTGCTTTTCAGTCTCATCATAAAATGTCAATCCCTCATTCTGCAGGCCAGCTCCAGCCCTAACGCAAATTAGAGCAAGTTGTTGGGCAGCTCTAACTTGTGCCTCTGGGATGAAGAAGCCAGCAAAGAACTGTAGCAGAGTTCCACTCTCCTCCTTCCTCTTCATATATTCTTATTCGGGGAGGGCTGACGTGGGAAACTCAGGTACAGGGCCCGGTTCCGGTACATTTGCACCAACAGAGAGAACTGTCTGTTGGTCGTACTTTAGCCAAATGATGGCTCCTTTACATGGGCTTCATAGTGCAAAGAGCCATAACTGTGTGGAGAATCTAGCTCCCCCATCTCCACAGCTGCATGGACACTTTGCTGCCTAAGAGGCAACACTGTAGCCCTGTTAGAGTTGGTTCCATGAGCAGTGGTTATGTGGCAAAGAACACCACACGACAGTACAGTTCCTTCTGATCACTCCCAGACCTCAGAGGCTGATCCTTTTCTCTGTGTTCAAGCAGTCCACTTGGAAAGCAATCGTTCCTCCACTTGCTGGAGAATTCCACCTTTATATACACATGGAAAACGATATTGTGTCTCCAGACTCGTTGGGAGACCCCTTATCCAAGTTGGACTAGCACAGATGATCAATGACAGTCATAGTCTGTTTATGTTTTTAAACTAAACCATGAACAGTAGCAGATTCTTACTTACTGTAAGTTAACTCTTCCCCAGCTCGCTTGCGTGACTGGTCCCCTCTGGGAAAGAATGGGGAGAAAAGAGTGGTCAGTGAATCAGAAAGGAAAACAACGATAGCATAGTTTCCTCACATTTACTTTTATAAAGCTTAGCCATTTAGTAGAAATTAAACAATAGGCAAATATGCTAATAACAATCAATGTATATGACTAGGGGGAAAACCCACACCAGAACCAATATACCTGGTTCAATAAAAAGTGTGATCTGACAATTCTACAGTGTACTCTATCCTTACTTTTAAAATCAATATTAAAGAAAAGTTGAATTCTTGTGATAAATAAAAAGCTCATCCTCTGTTTTAACACAAATCATTCAATTATAGTCTGATTTCAAATCAGACATTAAATTAGATTTAAATAAAACTAACTCCTTATAGCAGTTTTACAATGCTATTTTCAAAGATCTGAAAGATTTTGACATTTAGTAATTGCCAAATTCTTCTGATCTACTAAGTCCACATACAATTCCTCTAAGAGCAGAGCTCTTTAAAACACTTTTTTGTGAAATTCTAGCTCCACTTAAGTCACTTAGAAAAGGATCAGGATTCCTTCGCCCCTTTGACTTTTACTAGTATATGTAGAAAATTCCACTCCCTTTTATTTGAGTTAGATGGCAACAGTTCACCACTATGAGGCATGAAAGATGTCTGTTATTTATTTTCTTCACGCTATTCAGAATGTCACTTATCTGCTAGCAGACAATCTAGATTAGACATTCATGTGACACAACAGGAAGTGGTGCAACTGTGACAACAGGAAGTGGTGCACTTAAATAAAATGCATCCTTTTTGAAGGTAAGCTTTTGGTGTGCACTTCAAAGTCATTAGGAATTGACATTGAGTGATTAAATAACTCCCCCACCATCTTCAGTTGCACTACTCATTTGATTATCACTGTTGAAAACTCTCAAGAGGTTCCTGTCATGAAATTAGTGTGTGGACAACTCTTCAATATACAGTTTCCTTGTGGTTAATACTGATGAGAGATATGGAGCAGTGAAAATGTCAACAACATGTTACATTTTCCAAAAGTATCAATGGGAAACAGCAATGCTGTTTTCACTCCAGAGCCTAGATATCAGGCTGCTGAAATTGATGACTTCTTAATCTATATTTAATAAATACATTAATCTGTCACTTTAAATACTAAACAGCACACCAGAAGCTTAGTTTAACTCTCTCCTGCAATGCACACTGAAATGCAGCTGAATTTTAGCAACTCTAGAATTTATTTAGCAGAATACCTGTTTAATCAGCATACGAATGTAAATTACATAAGCAAGCCATCTATATAATTAAATTAGAGAGGAACTAATGTAGGACTTTGTGGTGCCAACGGCTAATAAAATAAAAGCCCATAATCCTCAGTATAAAAACCTTACACAACTTGATTTTTTTTTAAATTTATATAGTTCTGAGCATGCGTACTTTTCTAATAATAGTGCATTTGACCAAACGCTGTTCACAAGAGGACTTGGGCTCATCCACTTTTTTGTTCTTGGTTCTACCTTCTCTGTTCCTGTATGACCCCCTGCCACTATGCTTTTCTGGGGGGTCACAAACAGAAGAGAGAGAGAAAGGACAACACAGCCTGTTTGCAAATAGACACCACTTGTGCTCTTTAAAGTAATCAACCATCAATGGTTATAATGCTCTTTACAAGTGCTATAGGACAAATTTTGGCAGGTGAAGACCCTGGATTTTCCCATTCAAAAGAACAACCATTTCCAACAGTAACGTATGTGAACTGGAACTAGGCTACAGTGATCAGTAACATTAGGAACTGGTAATTAATTATTTTTGTACACAATAGAAATTGACAAACTATGTTTCAAGGACCCCTCAAGGTGCAAAGTACTTGCTATGGGATCCATATGAAACAGACAGCAAATTGTTCTCCACATGGGCCCTTTAACTCTGCCAGAGTATGAATTAGGGAACTTCCCAGGCATAAAATACAAAGCCTGTCTTCTTTCTCGAGCATTTATGGAGATGATGATATGTAGATGGTAAAACTGGAGACCTTTATTTTTACGTTTGGGCTGGTAATACGCTATTGAGTAATACTTGGATTATTGTCAATCATTTTTAACTAGAGTGAATATAAATTGGTGCTAGAGCACTAGAGCACTTTTAGAGTAATGGGCTCTTCTAAATGCTAAAAATTGAAAGAAAATTACATATTTTTTAATTAATAATTCTTCCCAACAGAGCAATATCTAAGCATACATAGTTTACTCTAATACTGTTTTCAAACTTAACATGCATAGCATGATATTTTTATTCCAAATGCCTAAATCAGACCTTACTAGCCTCCATATAGCATATTAATATTTACAAAAATGTTATCCAATTGTTGTGACAGAATTTGAGTTAGGATAAGAAAGTTTGGCTTATCTATATAATTTAATGTAGATTTTTAAATAAAGCACTGAGTTGCACTGGTGAAATAGCTACATTCCAAGACACGAGCTTTCACCAGTTTTTCTTTCCTCTCTGTATTATCAGTATAGTTCGACGGGGAAGTGTCAAACCCTTTATGATAAAACTACAAATAATTAATTGGCCTATGGCATCATCGAAAAAGATCTTTCAAATCAAATTTATTAACACTTCAAATATTGCCATTGTTTAAAAAGCTCAGCCCAAGGCATGCTTTTGAATGATCTCTAAGGAAAGAGTTTAATTTATCAATTAAAAATAGACCCTATTTCATAATCAGATTTTCAGGTTTAAGAGATTAAATGTAATTGTATCATTTCAAATATTTTTACTGGCAAAAATGAAGCTTTAGAAATATCAAGTCATCTTGTGGTTAAAGTCTTTCTAACTTTATTTTTTTTAAAGCACATTTTTAATGAGGGTTTTAACATAGTAAGAACTTTTTATACTTTTCATAGCTAAATCTGTAGGCAAAACTAGTAACAATTCACTCTGGATGCTTGTTCTACGCTAAATTCAATATCCATTTCCCTTCTACTCCACTACTCCCCCAAGCACTGCCTTCATGGTGCCGACGGCCAATCCCTCCCCATGCTGCTGCCTATCAGAGGGACGGCCAATCCCTCCCCATGCTGCTGCCTATCAAAGAAGCCCCTGTCCACAGGGTTAGGAGTCCCAGCAGGGAGTTGGGACTGCCCTTGGACAGGAGCTGCTGCCAGCTGAGCAGGCAGCTCGCCTCGCACTGGGTGCAGGACCAAACCCTGCTGCAGCTGTGCAATTTAAAAAGTAGTAAGAGCCAGGAGCAGGCTGCCTGGCTCCTACTGCCTTTTAAATTACGGAGTCTCAGCAGGTCAGCAGGGTTTGGTCCTGCACCTGGTACGAGCTGGGACTGAGCTGAGCTGCCTATCGAATAATCGAGTAGTCGATATAAATTCTATCAACTACTCGATTAAATACCCACCTCTTAACATCCCTAATTAGCATTAGTGCTTTGAACAGCAGAATATTTACTACCTTAGCAGCATTTCTACTTTAGTAAGTGGAAATCATGCTTGGAGAAATTTAAAAGTAGCTCAGAAAGCTATACACTGAAATTTAATCTGACATGCTCAGCTACCAATCACAAAGTCATCTGAAGGTCAACACCAATGCGTTAAGACTGATCTTTTGTTTTGTGCATATTCTTTATCATTGGAGAGGACAAAATTTTGTATTTCCTTGCATACCATCCTGACAGGCAACATACAAGACATCATGTTATTCTATTTAGGAGATAAAAGAATAAGCTTCTCCAAAATCTAGTGAATTCTTATAATAATATTCCAGGTGATAACTGAAGGTCTTAAAGGCTATCATCTACAAATTCCCATTTCTATGAGACTTCTGTATACCAACTATTGTTAAAAGCAACCCTGCTGATTAAAATAATTGACATTTAGAGAAAAATAAAATTATCTTGTATGCAGTTTGTTTACTTTGTGCATTAACAGTTTCAATGCTTTCTGGAGGGTCACTTTCACTTCCTGCCTCATGCATGAGCTGCTTTCCTCAGCAGTGATGCTCCTATGAAAGGATCTGGGTTTACTAACTTCCTCAGCCTAAGCTAAGTGTTTCTAGCTCCTGCAGAGGGAGCGCAAAGCACTGGGGCAGGAGAGGCAGCTATGGCAAGCTAAGTTTCAGCTTGACAAAGCCCTGGCTAGGTTGATTTAATTGGGAATGGTCCTGCCTTGGGCAGGGGGCTGGACTTCATGGCCTTCTAAGGTCTCTTCCAGCTCTATGGTTCTATGACTGAAAGACAATAAGGCATGTGAGCATAAATTGAAGGAGGAGGAGTGGATGAGCACAATAGGCCCAGCAAGTATTTTAAACCGATAAAAATTCAAACTTTTGGTGTCCTTTTACTACTTTATGGAAAAGGGAAGTTCAAAGGACAATGCTGAATGAGAACGGTCTGTGAAGAATATCACCCATTAATAATCAGAGGGGTAGCCGTGTTAGTCTAAATCTGCAAAAGCGGCGATGAGTCCCGTGGCACCTTATAGACTAACTGAAGTGTTGCAGCATAAGCTTTCATGGGCAAAGACCCACTCTGTCAGATGCATGTCACGAAGTGGGTCTTTGCCCACGAAAGCTTATGCTCCAACACTTCAGTTAGTCTATAAGGTGCCACAGGACTCCTCGCCGCTTTTATCCATTAATAAGTACATCAAAATACCAGGAGAGCATTAACAAAAATCAGAAGCATCTCAGTTTCATCTCAAAGTATTTGAAAGATGTTGATCACTCATTTCCTACTGCCATCAGTGAAATCTGTAGCCTCTTAGAACTTCTGAAAACCCAAGACACATTGTTAGGTGATTAAATATGGATTTAAGTGTATAAAAACCCAGATTTGAAAATTCTGGTTCAACTCTTTAGAATAATTAGTATTATATTGAATATTTACGTCTTTATAGATTTTTCTTTTTTGAAGTCTATGCATTTTAGTAGTTTGTGCTGTCCTGTGCAACTGCCGGGGTAATAATTACTACCTGGTAAATCCATTCTGCATAAGCTCTCTTTGAAGTTTCTGGTCTTGAGCAGCATATTCCTGAAGCTCAGATTCCACAGCAGGAGGGAGAATGTTTGGGATGAATTTAGAAAATAAAGCTGGTGCCATTTGAACCCACTCTGCATGAAAACAGAAAACATAAAAATGATGAATCACAGAATAGAAAAAAAATGAGCGTCAGCAATAATTATTTTGAAGGACTATAGGTTTTTTTTTTTTAAGATTATACAAAATTGCTTGACATCTTGAATTAAAAGTAGGGCTGTCAATTCATCTGCGTTAATGCCTGCGATTAACGCAGGGCAGGATTAATGCTTTAAAAACCTTAACATGTTAATCGTAGACGTTAATGCTGCGCTGCCCCTTTGAAGTGCCACTCCGGTGCTTCAAATGGGCAGGGCATTAGGAGCCTGGGATCAGCTGAAGTCCCCAGCTGACCCCGGGCTCCGTGCACCACTCCCGAGCGGCACTTCAAAGGGGCAGCGCAACACGGAGCCGGGGATCAGCTGGGCACTCCCGCTGTCTTTGGCTCCACACTACACTTCCCCTTTGAGGCGCCGGAGAGGCGCTCGATCTGATCCCCGGCTCCAGCTGGACACTCCAGCTGATCCCAGGCTCCTGTGGTTCTGCCCCTTTGAAATGTCGCCACTTCATTTGGCAGCTGCACTGAACCTGGGGTCAGATAAGGACTCCAGCTGATCCTGGGCTTCCGCAGAGCTGCCCCTTTGAAAAGTCACTGCAGCGTTTCAAAGGGGAAGCACGCGCGATTACATTTTTTAATCATGCGATTAATTGCAATTAATTTTTGTAATCACTTAACAGCCCTAATTAAAAGACTAGATATTCAAGGCACACACATTTTTGGCCCAATAGTCTGTGCTGCTCCATCAAGAATCAGTGGCACCATAGACACCTAAAGCTATAAAGAGTATGAACCATATACTTCATTGGCCTGTACCATGTAAAATTCTTTACACTAGAGCAAGAGAGGTAAAATGCTACTAAGAATATTTTTATGGGACCAACTTCTAATGGTGCAAGAGACAAGTTTTCAAAAGTTTTTGAACTATCCTTCATACTCCAGCAGGCTCCACTGACAGGGTCTCTTAACTGAAGCAGACATATCTGCAGGCTGATTCTATGGACTCTCAGAAGAGACAAAGCAAAGATAATATAGCATATAGCAACTGCCTAGCAAACAGAGAAACAGAGCAGTACCACAGTGAAACTGTAAGTGTCTGTGGCCCAGATTGCCTGGAAAGGAGTGGAATGTTTGCCAACAACTAATGCAATCCTAGTGTAGACAAAGCAAGTTATATTTTTAGCATGTGATCACTGGTACAGATAAACCTTAGACTCTCTTATGGGGGTTTACATGACCACTGAATGTACCTCAGCTAACGTGTGTTAAAAACGCACATTGTTTCTAGTGTAGACATGGCCTTACAGATGAACACCAGTGCATAAACCAATACCTTCATTACGGTAGTAGGGGTCACTAACAACTTACAAACAAAGTCAGATCACTTTTCACATTGCAAGGTAAGTTAAAGGTACTGTACCATTTAATGGATTTACACACAGATGGACACAAACATTAAACTATCAGAATTAACCGAGTTAGTCCAAGCTAATTTCTTAGTATGAAATGTTGATGACAAGCCCTTTTGTGCCACTGCAACCTTGACACCAAATGTGTTCATAGGTTTAAACAATAAATCCTCTAATGGTGATACGAGTCAGAAAAATCAGTATCTTACAAATTCTTTACCAGGGAAGGAAAGTTATGGACAGCAGCCAAGTGCACTATGTAAATGTCTACATATTTTCGTAGAAAACAGATATAACAAATAGGTAGAAATAATGTTAGATCCACATTTAACTCCACATTTTCAAGAGCTTCAACCCAGGGTTACCTCAACCTCATGTCTTGGCTGGTCACTGCATCTGATCTGTTTCTCTCCATCCTCTCATCCCTCCTCCACCCCTGACATTTTCATTTTGTTCTTTTTTCACCCCTCATCTCGTCTGTGCACATGGCTCATTCATATACTTGTCTCTTTCTTAGGCTCTATTCTCTTTCCTTTTTCTCTCCCCGTCCTTCCACTCTTTATCTTTTACCTTTTGGTCTTCCCATACCTAACATTAAGAGGAGCAAATTTTGCTCCTGGAGAGAAATCTATTTGTATATTGGAGTTCCTCTGGAAAAGGCATACTACAGCAGATAGAAAAAAAAAGAGAACACGAAAAGACAATTGAGCTGCTTAATGGGAGCTGTTGACATATTCCACTGCCTGACTTGAGTCCAGATAAGAGTACTTAAGTACATGACAAGTTTCTCCATTCACTTTACTTTTTTTCTCCTCCCTTTGCCAGACTCTCCTTTTACTGTCAGTCACCTAGTCTCATAGAACCATCTGCAGACAAAGTATGGAGAAGCGATAGTTCTTGAAGTTAATATCTTCTTGGTTTGTCTTTCCAGTGCAAACACTGGAGACTAGGGCTATGTCTAGACTGCAAGCCTCTTTCGAAAGAGGCTCTTTCAAAAGTATCTTTCGAAAGAGCCTCTTTCGAAAGAGAGCGTCTAGACTGCACGTTGAACTTTCGAAAAAGCGGCTTGCTTTTTCGAAAGAAAGCATCCAGTGAGTCTGGATGCTCTCTTTCGAAGAAGCCCTATTTACATTGAAGAACACCTTCTTTCAAAAGAGGAACTTTGGAAAGAAGGCGTTCTTCCTCGTGAAATGAGGTTTACCGCCACCGAAAGAAAAGTCGCGTTCTTTCGATTTAATTTCGAAAGAACGCGGCTTGAGTCTGGACGCAGGTGAGGTTTTTTCGAAAAAAGGCTACTTTTTTCGAAAAAAACCCTGAGTCTGGACACAGCCTGAGTGACACTACAATCATATACAATTGGACAGCTTCCCCAGTGCACATCTTTGAGGTGGTCTCAGTGTCCCAGAGGCCTGCGCCTCTGAACACATTATAATCCAAGTAAACAAGGACTGACTCTACTAAGGAACACTTTTAAATACAGAAGAATAGTTCTTAGTACAAACTTACAGCACTTCCAGGCTGGATAGAATGGCATTCATAAATTCTTATCTTCATCTTTTCAACCCAATCAGTTTTACTATGTTGTTATTGACTAAAGTCATGACAAGGTGAATGTCTGAGAGACGGACTTAAAGAATTTGATTCAAAATATATCACAAACTTAATATTCTTTCCTTAACTGGCAACTGAAAATACTCTGTTCTCTTCAATAGCATAAGCACTCTTCACAGATTGGCTGAGTGGGTACTGTGAACTTTTTGATGATCTCACTGTAAATATTACAAGTGCATATGAATCCTTACTTATGAAGTGTTCAACCAGATTACTCAGACAACTACATACTTTTAGTCAAAGTCAACAGGTAAGGAATTCATTGAGTATGACATGAGAATTTAGAAAAAAGACATTTAAAGTTATAATTATAATGTTGCAAACACTCATAATTTTATTGCAAATGTTGTTCTGTTTTTCTTAAAGCCTGAACTTCTGGGCTATGTCTAGACTGGCATGATTTTCCGCAAATGCTTTTAACAGAAAAGTTTTCCGTTAAAAGCATTTGTGGAAAAGAGCATCTAGATTGGCACATTTTCGTGATCAGGGCTTTTTTGCGCAAAACAAATCTGAGCTGTCTACACTGCCCCTTTTGCACAAAAGCTTTGCGCAAAAGGACTTTTGCCCGAATGGGAGCAGCATAGTATTTCCGCAAGAAGCACTGATTTCTTACATGAGATCGTCAGTGTTCTTGCGGAAATTCAAGCGGCCAGTGTAGACAGCTGGCAAGTTTTTCCGCAAAAGCAGCTGCTTTTGCAGAAAAACTTGCCAGCCTAGACAAAGCCCTGGAGTCATACAATTATAGTTTTTGTTTTTCTATCCCTCAGAAGTGCGAAGATGGGACTGAAAATGTTAAGTCCAAAACTTTAAACGCCGTATGGTAAAAAAAGAATCTTAGATGTATCATTTAAATCTCATTTTGTGGACATAACTCATGTTTTTTAAATATCTAGCACTGGCAATATAAAATCCATGCCCTTCATGTTAAGAAGGTAAAGAGTGGTTTGTACAATCCTGTCTGCTAGTCAGGCTCTTTTCTGGCAAATAATGGAAGAGCTTCAGCAATCTGTCACATGAGGACTCAGGGAGAAGCTTGTAAGACCACTGCCACAGGAGGAGGAGCAACTGGTATCGGACATTAAGCATCAAGAGGGGACCAGTTTTTAAGTGAAATTCTGCAGAAATCAATGGCTTAGGTTTTCCTGATCAACACTAGCCAGTGGATTTTTCATGCCCTGGTAACAATCTTATTTAAATATCTTTTAGAACACAGTAAGAATACTGAAAATCTGAGAGGGGAATGACAGTATTGAGTCAAACTAAACTTTGTCTCTGAAGGAAAAGGCAAGTTTCTTTCAACGTTAACAGGCTTTGAAGAGCTTTCAATACTCTTGCCTCTGGGGATATCAAGTAGGATACTATCAAAATCTTACACATCAGCTCAAGTTAGAATGAAATCATGCTTTTGTGCTCTTATAAAATATATTTCCTTCTACAGTACTGAAAAGTAAAAGAGGATAAAGATGAAAGTCATCACCATAGTCCTTCCCCTATCAATCACTTTAATGTGTGAGAAAAATAAAACATGCCTGCTAAGAGTGATTAATCTGAATTCTGTAGGTAATCTGACCACCCCATTACTGGTCTTCATATGCAATACCGGTCAGACTCTGAAGTTTTGTAAAGCATCCTCTTTGTCATTTATGGCTCTGAGCGGCAATTCCATGGAAAAGAAGATGGGATACACCAGCACAAAACAAGAATAACTCCATGGAGCTATGACTGGCATTGCAGAAAAGAGGAAAACCTGGACCACTTTGGTATTTGTGTTTCTTAAGCAGAGAAATAAAGGAGCATGATGAAAGTTCATTCCGGGAAGGGTGCCCGTGACATTCCTTCTCCTCATCACCAGCTAGATGCTGTTGACAGAGATTTGCAGCAGAGACTGTATGTCAGCAATGGGTAACCAAGACTAGTGAGCAAGCTGCCTGAATGACCCTCCTTTATCTCAGTGGGCTTCATGATTGCCCATGGTGGGCAACCTGTGGCCTGCAAACCCTCTCTTCTCCCCCTTCCAATGTGCCTCCTGTGCACTGGGGCACTGGAGCCCCGCACTTCCTATTCCTCCCCCTTCCTCCCAGCACTTTTGAAGCTCTCTGAATCTGTGATCCGCACTCCATCTTTCTCCCTCCCACAGCTTGAACGTCATAAAACAGCTCTTCATAATTGTGCAAGCTCTGGAAGGGAGGGGGAAAAGCAGGGACAGAGCACGATTCAGTGGATTCATGATGCTCCAAAAAGTCCTGGGACGGAGGGTGAGGACTAAGAATTGGGAGGCTCCAGTGCCCCAGTGCGTGAGAGGTATGTGGGGTAGGGGACTGACCGGATGTGCATGGGCTACAGGCGGAACACCAGTGGGCTGTAGGTTGCCCATCACAAATACAATTACATTAGAATATTGTTAAAATGTCATATTTTATTATATACCCATTAAATCTTATAACTGCAGAGCTCAGCAAACTGCACATAGCCAGTGAGCAATGATTATTTTAATTACCTGCTGCTGCACTGCTAAACCCCTTTTGAATATTGTCCCTTGATAAGGGCTCATTTTAGTTTCCAAATGATACTTTACAGTCCCTTCTCCATTTCATATTAAGTTTTTAATTCATGAAAAATCTCAGACTACGTTAACAGTTCCATAAGAAAACTACGCCACCAAGTCTCAGAACCTGGTAAATGACTCAGACTTGCAAAGCCCAATCTACAGGCTGAAACCTACAGTGTAGACTCTTGCAGAAAGAGGCAGGAAGAGTAGGTATGTAAGCAACTAGTCAACTACCCGATAAGCCTCTGTTTATTAGGTAGTCGACTAGTCACATCTCCCATCCCATCCGCTTACTGCCTTTGTACCAGTTCCCCTTGGCACCGTCTCCATAGGAGGGCAGTCAGGACCCTGCGTGAGTGCCCCCCTTATCGACTAATCAAGCAGTCGATGGAAATTCCATTGATTATTCGATTTGCTGGTTAATAGAAATTTAACATCCCTAGGAGAGAGGGATCTCTCACCACACCACTCACGAGAACATCTACACTGCAATTTTATAGCCCCACAGCCTGAGTCCTGAGACTCAGACCATCCATGAAGTGTCACGGGCCTTTTATCGCAGTGTAGGTACACACCACAATTTTCTTGGCTCACTGAGATAATGTTGGCCATGAAGCCCACATTATATACATTTTATTCAAAGGTAAAATAAAATTTTACCATGATATAAAAATGATAAATTTTGGATCTTTCTTATAGCAAAATCTGTTCTGCAATCAAAATCTGTTCTGCAATCATCACAGCATCAGAGGTGGAAAGGTCATTTAGACATAAAGGCCCTATCATTCCATTATCTATCTTACTGTTCAATATCTGTCCTATTGAACAGCTCATTCCCTTACAGTAATACAAAGAAGCACAGTGCTTGTGCTTCAGTCTTCCCTTTAATATTTTAAAACTAGTTAAGTGAAGGTGGGAGCCCAATGCAAGAATCAGTTGTCCCATAGGTCACAAAATAGATCTTCTGCATTCATAACGAAGGCTTAGTTGTGACATCGCACAACACAGCTAACCACTGATTAAAAAGGTAGATTTTATGGTTTTATCAAAAATACATAATATTGTAGTTAGACTGCATACAAGTTTGTGGAATGTTTTGATACTACAGTACAATGAGAGATTGCAAAACAAAGCAATGGATATTTACCTGGTCTAAGTGTATACAGGCCTTTCACAATATTTGCCATGGTTGAAGGGGTTATTTGAAACGGTGTTGACTGAGCATCTAAAAGTAAAGCTGAAATGAAAAGAGAAGCCTGATTAACCATTTTCTTGGTCAAATACTTTAGGTTCTCAGCATATATTTTTGGCAGTTAAGTGAAGTTATTTTTTCCTTGTCTGTCACCTGATGTTCCTAACGAGGAAACCAAGTGACAGACAAATGAGTGACAATTGCATTCTTACAAGTATAAATATAACCTTTTAGTCAAAGTGCAATATAGAATATGAAGTTGTGTGGTGAAAACGTAAAATACTTTTGCCTTCTCATATTACAGCTAAGCATATGGGGTTTCTAAGGAAAAACAGTCAAGTAACTGTATTTCCATGTTTCTGAGACAGAACTGAAGTAAATACAACTTATTTTAGCAGTAATATTCACAGTGCTACGGTAAGCATAAGAATTTTCACTATAACTATACTAAAGCATTTACCATACTGACAACAGAATCTGCTCTGGATTGGAGATCTGAACATGAACATCCTGAAACAAGTTTTTTAAAAATCAGATATAAGCAAGAAATTATTTGTTTTTTAAAAACGAGAGGATATTTATTTTTCATTCTTGATGTACTTATTGGCTTAATAAATAACTGGGAGACATTACCAATAACCACAATTTTTGTTTGCCATGTGCATAATGATTATTGATTTGATACTATTAAGTATATTACACAACATTAATTTTTAACATGAAGTGGCTTTGATTAATGCTATGTCCTGTATATTAATGACAATATGAACGGTGTTAAAAAGAACTATACCTGCGCCAAGCCCCTTTGCCAATATTTGCATATTTCTAGAACCCACAGGTCAGAGTGTTATACGCTCTTCTTTCTGCCCCATCCACAAAGCACTGTCCTGCCTCTTTAGCTTACACTGTAGAAACATATATTTTTAGCTGTAGAGCTTTCCCAGTTCAGTCCACAACATTAGTCAAGATGGCAGTCACACACTCACAACCATAGCTGATTTAAAAAAAAAAAAAAAAAAAAACACACCTAACCTTCCCTTTTCTGTTGTGTAAAAGATCTCTACAAAACAGTGTAAACTGAGAAGAGAAATCTGTTTAATCTTTCAATTACAGTAACTGAAGGTGCTATTTGTAACTATTATAGGTACATTGGTCTCAGACAGAAGTGTGATTTTTAAAAGAACAGTTTTCCTTGAAATCTGGGAAGTGATTTGCATACCATGAGACATTTGCAACTTTCCTCCTACAGATTTTTCCTGCAACAATCCCTAGGCCCATCAAGAAAACTGCATACTGTGATGTCACAGAGGGAACAAGGCTTTAATAAAATGTGTACCGAAATCTGAATATAGTCTAGAAGAGATTAAGCTATAGATATTTTATGCATCTAAAACACAAGCCTAGGTACATAGTTGAGACACTTGCAGTGGACACAGGACCACAGGAGATGACTGATCATGAGCCAACCTGCAAACATACACAGGAGTAGCCCTTAACTTGCACAAGTAGAGTACTAAAATCAATGGAACTAGTCTTGAAATGTAGGACTGTTTGCATGACTAAGCCATAGCCTGGAGATGTTTAGACAAATGTGATGATAGTTGCTGACTATTTCCATATCTTTAATTGATTTTTGTACTAGTTTAGACTTTTTCCCCCATAAAATCATTTACTTTTTCAAAATGAGCTATAATCCTATTCCACAACATATAATATTTGAAGATTTAACAAGGTGAATCCACGATATGTGGCAAGTAAAGTGTGCAGCAATCAGTACTGGTTTATTTATTACTGCACCTGACTTTTTATAAACAAATTTCATTAGCAAATTCACCTGGCGATCAATCTTCATTAACAGAAGTGAATTTGTGCTTTCCTCTCCAACCCCTTATTACAGCTTGACTCATCAACATTTTGTACCACTTGTTTTTGTAAACATATTACAATCAGCCTTTAAAACTACAACAGCTCACTCAAAGCTTTTCTGAATTAACCCAAACTGAACGGATTTTGAGACAGCATAGCTGCTGGCCCAAGTCACCTAAAATAAAAATATTCCTTTCCTAAACAGATTAATTTCTTCAATGAGGTAGGAGCAGTACACAGGCTAACCCTGTGTTAATGGTAAAGCAAACAGGGGGTAGAGCCCTGTGCAGATACAAAAATGTAGATCTGCTTCCAATCCATCTCAGTGAGAATCAATTCTCATCCACCCCACAATCTGCACTGTCTTATCTGAAGCCACATCTGCATGATACCTCTCAGTGTCTCTCAGAGGAGCATCTGTGTTCATGTGTATATACTGTACATAGGATCTCAAAGACAGGTAAGCAGCTGTCTGCAGTTCAGAGCCTATGAGGCTCTGGAAGGCAAGAAAGCAATTTATAGGCTACAAGCAGCAGATAACTACTTCTTGATCTATCACCTTCTCTTTCTCTGCATGCAGGGACAGAAAAAATGGGATCTAGAAGGCAGGGAAGTAGCTTATAGCCCCTTTTCCCACCCTCCTACAATGAAAGGGGAGTTAATAAATCAAAACATACAGCAAACTCCCCCATGTTCCTACTACCTGGTTTAAGCAGCCAAGCTATTTAGGAACTCTCTCCTGACTATCATATTAGGTCAGTTGGAGAGGGATCTTCCTTCCTCCCTTCCCACAGTAAGTACAGGCCAGGGGAAGGGAGGAGGGAAGAGGAAATATAGGATCAGAAGGTGGGGAAGCAGCCTCACAGGCTATGAGCTGAAGACAGCTACTGTACTTCCTTGTCTCAGATCTTATAAAATGTATAGCTCTGCATGGATTTGTATCCCCATCCGATCAACAAAAGTGGTCCATGAATATCCGCAGAATACAAGCAGATTTGCAGGGCTCTACATGAGGGCACACATGAGAGTGTAGTGCATTCCTCATTTCTCTTTGCAACTGGGATACCAAAAACTTATTATTTTCAGGACCTTTTCCTAATTTGCTTTGCCAGTGCAGCTTCAGGTTCCTTTTCTGTAGCTGACTCCTTGAGAGGTAATAGCCAAACTGGAGAAATAAAGGGAGTCATCTTTGGAAGGCAGCAAAACCCACAATCTGATTAATCTTTAGTTCTACCTGCCTGTTCCAAAAGGTGAGGTTGGAGAAGACACTAGTTTCTCTGCCATAGCAGCCCAGTCAGGCATTTATCCTGGCATTAAGTATTGTCCAGGTTTTTTCCCATAGTCCCTCTTCCCATATCTAAAAACTGGACTATGGGACATATCACTGTAAGACAGTGTGTCACACTACTGCCTTATTAGTAAAAAGCGAAAGAACAAATCAGTACATTTTGTTCCACTGACAATGAACTCCGTGATGACAGTATAGATTTACACATCTGTTAGTAATATGCTTGAGTGGAAATCAAGTGATACCCTCTTCTGCTTATCCATTAACCGAGGTACAAAAAGTTTAAAAAAAAAAAAGTATTGCAAAAGAAAGCAACAAAAAGTTAAAAAAAAAAAAAAAGTATTGCAAAAGAAAGCCCTTTCCTTGCAAGGTGTACCAGTCTCTAACTGCCTTAGTTTTCTCTGTTTGCATACGGCATTTATGCTTTTGAATTTCATATCAGAAGCAAGGCAGAATGCAAAGAGAAATCACCGAACTTCAACTTCCTGGTCAATTTTCCTGAGTAAAGAAATCACCGAACTTCAACTTCCTGGTCAATTTTCCTGCTTCCTCCTCAACATTTTTACAGTTGAAGGACTTCCCCCCCTATATTTGTACACCTGAATTTTTTAAACAAAGAGATGAACTGCTTTAAACCCATCCCTCACTGAGTCTGGGGGAACATGACTGGGAAAAAAACAACACTGTCTTAAGTAAAAGTTAGACTGACTGAAGCATACCCATGGGGTCAATTAAATGTTTCACATCAAAGAGTTCTGGGAGATCATTTCAGTATCATGGCAAAAGAAACACAGACTCTTAACAGAGCAAGATGTCAGACTCTCAGACTTCAAAATGTAAATCACACAAATCCATGCCACAGTTATTTGAGACAGAAATATTGGCTTCAGTTTTTCATCAATATCAATGTGTGTCTTTTCAGGTTTCAATGCACTTAAGAAAATTAAATCTTGAACCTGAATACTACATAAAACAAATGCCTGCTCGCTATTATAGTTAAGTCAGCCTGGAGACAGCAAACCTATCAAATGAATGACTAGCTTTTGATTAGCTAATTGTATGGCTGTCTAGGTCAGAGATGGGGAACTTTTTTTGGATCCAGGCCACTGACCCACAGAAAAATCAGTTGGGGACAACACACAAGAGAGAAGCAAAAAGAAAAAAACAAAACAAAACAAACACACTGACATGGCCACTGACTGAGAAGGAGAAAGACACTCCCCACAGTCCTTTGCGCACCAGACCCTAGGCGAGCCTAGCCTGATAGATTCTGTGTGCTCTAGCCCCAAGGTGGAGCAGCAGGGAGACTGGAGCGCCAACATGGGGGGCCTGAGCCTGAGGGCTGGATCCAGGCAAGCCAGGGACTGCATCCAGCCCCTGGGCCTGAGGTTCCCCACCCCTGGTCTAGGTATATGTTATGACTTGGAAAAGAATAGACAAAACAGTGAAGGGCTAGGAAAATAATCAGTGTTGTACTATATTGTATTCAAGTAATATAATTTTCTGCCTGTATTTTCATACCTAGACTCTGGTACTCAGTGGAACTCTGGTTCTCTGGTCCATCTTCATTCAGATCTTGCAGTTCTGATTTGAAATCTGACTAAAGGGTTAGAGTTATTGCAGCCAGAGTTCCTGTTTCCTTCTATATAGCACTTTCTTTGCATGAGCAGTACACTCTAGCAGATATCTACACTAACAGGCAGCTGGAGGTTTTGCTTTCTCATCCATTCATGTGAGGGAAGGGAAAGCATTCAGGCTCCTTCCCATTCCACTACCTCCACAATCACGGAAAAGTGAAGTCGCCACTGGCAAGTTATGTGGAAAACATTAATTTCTTTCCTCTGGTGAAGTTGATCTCTATTTCTAGTTATAGTGAAATTCTTACTGCTCA